ATTCGTAACCACTACGCTACCAGAGCTCCTTCATAGTCCATATTTTACAGATGTGGAAATTGTGCCTTAGCAGGACTAAAACTGTCTGCTGTAAAAGATGTTGTTAAGTGTCATCAAGTTGGTTCCAACTCATAGTGACCCTGTATAGGGTTTCCAACAAGTGGCAGGTGAGAAATCAACTCTAAAATTAGGATTTGGGAATGTAAGTTTATCTAACTGAAAACAGTTTGACTATTTCTTTTATACTCAATACTATTATCTTAATAGATTCCTTCACTGGAAGAGAATCCAGTTTTCTGAATTTAAGATCAGACCTCTGCTTACCCTTAAAACGTATGTGGAACTTGAGAAACACTTGCTGAGGAACAAACTCTCCAAAGCTTGCATATCTCAAGTGAACTTACGCAAAGTTAAAAAACAGTACTTCAACTGGTTCCTTGGTAAGCCCCATCTCCTCTTCTCCCATTCATAATAATGAATGGCACAGTTTTAGATATTTGTGTGTATCCAAATCACAAAGTGGCTTTGAGGTATATTATTTAAAATGTAACTTTCAAACAAACAAAAACTGTCCAACCTACTACTTCCTAGCATTAAGGGAATAAGGGCAACTTCGTAAAGTTATGGCAGTTTAAGTTAGTTCTCACCCTGAGGAATGCCCTAAAAATTGTTCAAATATTTGATTATTAGCATTAAAATTTTTTGTAGTAGAACTGTTCTTGCTATCTCCTGAGGCAGAAAAGAAATGACAATAACTCAATAAGAGGTTAGTGTTGGGATGGAGCACTGTAGCTCTACAGGATAAGCACTGGACTGCTAACTACAAAGCTGGCGCTTAGAGGCCACCAGAATCTCCATGGAAGAAAGATGTGGTTTTCTGCTCTCAAAAAGATTTACAACCTCAGAAATCTTATACAGACTCACTATGAGTGGGAACTCGTTGGCACTTATCAACAAGTTAGCAGTGGATGAAGTAGTGGTTTAGTGGTTCACATGGGATTCTGGGTTCAATTTCCAGACCATTCTCCTCCTGTGAAGCCACCACCAGCCTGTCAGTGAACAGCAGGTAACAGGTTAGTGTTATGTAAGACTGAAAGCCTTCGTGAGGAGACAAGAAGACACGAACGCTTACGTTATTCCCATTAAGCCTTTTATGTCTAGGAGGTTGAGGTTTACTTCTATATTCTATATGTTGTTGTTGTTGTTGTTGTCAGGTGCCAT